GTGGACAAGGATTGTGCGAGTGACAAACAGACAGACACACAAGAGCTTGGTGAAAGTCCGAGTGCAGTTTTTGCAGCTGCAAGGTTTGAGATATATACAGCAAAGATTGCAAAATCTCCCCAACAGAAACTGCAGAACAGCCATGCCAAGATTTACAATTCCAGAGATAAAAGCAAAACAGCCTTGCCAACCATCATGTACAGCCAAAACACACCTCCCCATCCCATCGACCTGGCACCAGACAGCAAACCCCCACTGTGGCCTTCACTGCCAGCCTTTCCCATACTCAGGATTCCGCTCAGCTCTGTGGTTTCAGGTCAAAATGACCTTAACCCATCACGTACTTTCAACATTAGCTGTACCCGATATTACATTTTTAACTATTTGATAACATTCCTTGCTTATTTGTAGTGGGCCTAGGGAGGTTTTGTATTACTGTTTCAATTTCTTTTTGTGTTATGGGTCCTTTTAAGCTGTTAATCTCTTCTTGGTTTAGTTTTGGTGGTCCCCAGGCCTTTAGATATCCATCCTTATAATGTTCTATATCTTTCTGATGTCTTGTGATGTTTCCCCTTTCATCTCTTATTTTGTTGATTTGGAGGTGCTCTTTCTTTCGGTTAACTGGGCTAACGGTCTGTTAATCTTGTTTCTCTTTTCAAAGAACCAGCTCTTGGGTTCGTTGACTCTTTGTATTGTTTTCTTTGTTTCAATTTCATTAATTTCTGCCCTGATTTTTGTTATTTCTTGTTGTCTGCTGGGTTTGGGTTTCATTTGTTGTTGCTTTTCAAGTGTCTTGGGTTGTAATGTTAAGTCATTTATTTGTGTTCTTTCAGATATTCTATGTAGGCACTTAGAGCTATAAGCTTCCCTCTAAGGACAGCTTTCAGTATGTCCCAGAGATTTTGTTGTGTTGTATTGTCCTTTTCATTTAATTCCAGGAATACTTTTATTTCTTTCTTAATTTCTCTTTTGACCCATTCATCATTCAGGAGTGTGTTGTTTAATCTCCATGTGTTCATGTGGTGATTAGGGCTTCTTCCGGTGTTGATTTTAAGCTTTATTGCATTGTGGTCTGCAACGGACCAGCCCTGACTGGGGCAGTTCAGTCCGACGGGAACAGGGTCCTCGAGAGAGTGGACAAGGATTGTGCGAGTGACAAACAGACAGACACACAAGAGCTTGGTGAAAGTCCGAGTGCAGTTTTTGCAGCTGCAAGGTTTGAGATATATACAGCAAAGATTGCAAAATTTCTTCAACAGAAACCGCAGAACAGTCATGCTAAGATTTACAGTTCCAGAGATGAAAGTAAAACAATTTTGCCAACTATCATGTACAGCCAAAACACATTTCCCTATCTTATCAACCTGGTACTAGACAGTAAATTCCTGCTTTACTGTGGTTTTTACTGCCAGCCTTTCCTTCTTCTATGTATATTTTACTCATCTATGTCTCTCTTCTAGAAATCTATTATTCCCTGGACTTTCCAGCATTAATTCTGCTTAACTACTTCTTGCTGCATCTAAAATAGCTTTCATTAATAGTGGTGCATCTGGAGGCAAAGTCGTCTTGGGTAACTGAGTTCCTGAGAACTCTTTCTGCATACTAGGATGATTAAAGGCAGTGACAGCGGTGTCCTTTAAAGCCCATAATACAGTGACAGTCAGAACGATAATAGCAAGTAAAAGCATGCCAAGTACACTGCATGTTTTTTAGCACAGCCAATTCCAAGAGGCAAACTTCCTTGAAGTTCCAGCCTCAACCCACGGAGGATCTCACGCGGGCTTCATTGGAGATGGTGTGACAGGGAGGAAAGGGTTTATTTATCTTACCTCTACCAGGTCACAGTTCATCAAGGAGCCCAGGGTAGGAACTCAGGGCAGGAACCTGGAGGCAGGATCTGGAGCACAGGCCATGGAGGAACGCTGCTTACTGGCTTGCTCCCCTGGCCCCTGCTCAGCCTGCTTTCTTATGCAACAGAGGCCCACCTGTCCAGGGGTGGCACCACCCACAGTGGGCTGGGCCCACATCACTCTGCAATCAAGAAGGTGCCCCATGGACATGGCCACAGGTCAGTTCAATAGAGGAAATTCCCCAGTTGAGGTTCCCTCAACCCAGGTGTGTCAAGTTGACACTAAAGCTATCCAGTACAGATGCACAAGAGGTTTATGAATGAAAATATTCTTGAAAGCAGGAAAATGTCTGTATAAAGTAAAAGGGGCAAGTTACAGAGTGACTTTTTTCCTTTGCAATAGGGCCTTCCTATGTAGCCCAGGATGCCCTTGAATTCACAATTCTGCCTCAGCTTCCCAAGTACTAGGATTACACAGATACACCACCATACCAGGCTGTGTATTTCTAACGAACATCCAAGAAGGGCTGGGGAAATGGTTCAGTGGGTAAGAGCACTTGCTGTGCAAGTATAAGGACTTATGTTTGGATCCCCAGAACCTACATAAAAGCCAGACACTTGTGCATGCCTGTAACTTACTTGGCTGAGGTAGTGTGGAGGTAGAGCTTGCTGGCTGCCATCTTAATTGAAAAACGGTGATCTCCAGCTTTAGTGAGAAGACCCCGTCTCAAGGAAATAAGGCAGAGAGGGAGAGAAAACACCCCACATCTGGCCTTAGAATGCGTGCACAGGCAAGTGCATGCACATGCAAGTAGCACACACAATTCAGGGAGTTTGAAACCAGGGCACAGAGCATAGGCCATTGGGGATTCACTAATCCTGTGCTTTCAAATCTCACAATTTCCATCTCAGTCCTCATTCCCATTTTTTTCATCTCAATAGAAGAAAAAAGACCAGTAGAAGTGGAATAGGAGAGTAAGTGTAAAGAATTCAGATGTAGAGGGGCCTAAGAGAACTTATAGGAGTCCAGTTCTGGTTACTGGAAATCAAGTGAAACTGATCAACTGACATCCTAAGGGGTAGAAAGACAGCCCTTCTACTTGAAGATTAGAAGGAATACAGTTAAGAACTATCTAAAGGAGGCTGGTGGTTGTCTCAATATGATAGGTGGTTGATGGAAGTTTTGGGAAACATCCAAGTTAATAGATTAGGGTGACTACAGACCCCCTGAGTTCTCCTGACAGGAAAAAGGATTAGATATGCACGCACACAAAAAAAGTTTTTGAGTAAATTGCAAACGCGAGTGACAGGTATATAGGACTCTTCTGGGAGAGACTGCCCTGACCTATCAGGGAAGTCCTGATTGGCTGGAGAAAGGCATCAAGCTACTGCCCTTGACAATTAAGATCATCCAACCAACTTGTTATTTCTGAATCCCAGGCAGGCTCCTGAGAGTTTCCCATCAGTTGCCAGTGCTGTTTCTCGGTGTAATGAGTCGTTTTCCACATCAGACCTGAATTGCGATGCTAAGTCCCCGACCAGCCTGCTGGTGTGGCTTTCCTTATCTACTGCATTTAGAGTTCCAACACTTGGGAAGAGAATAGGAAAACCAGTGCTGTGGCCAAGGTCCTAAAGGAAGTTGGGTGACTGGTCTGGCCGCCAGCAGAGACAGTAGGCCAGCTGAGAGAATTCGGACAGACTGTCGTATTTTCCGCCAAAAATAAGCGGACGGGGCGGAACTGATAGGTGCTGCTCGTGGCCACCAGCTGTGGAAACCCCGGCCCTCTGGCTGTCCGACTCCAGACCCCAGGGTGCCAGCTGGGGGAGGGCGAGGTTTCAGACAGCCAATCAGAAGCTCCGTCTCTGAATTCTTTTCGGGGGCGGGGCTGGGCGAGGACCCTCCAATAGAGTACGCTGACCGGGAGCTGGGATGGGAGTGGAGCCAGTCAGGAGGCGTGGCGCTCGGGGTAGGGGAGGGTCGCGGCATCGAGGTGGCCTTGCTTGTCTGTGAGGAGCCAGTCTGTCTCCGGAGGTCGGTTCGTGGCGGGTGAGTGGGCGTGGGGCAGGAGAGGTGAGCCCGGGTTGTGGGCGTCCCCGGGAGCAGCGCGGCGGGCTGGCGGGGCAGAGCGCCCTCCGCTCGCGGCTGGGATCCCACCTTCACCGGCCTGCGTGCGGACTGGCGGAAGACAGGTGCCGGGTGGGAACCTTCTCACCTGGACCTCGCCGAGAGAGGGCTGGGAACCGGCCCGCGTGTCCTGCTGTGTTCCCGCTTCGAAACTCCGCAGCACTGCAGCGCGCTGGCCCGACCTTTGCTTCTCACTCAGCTTGTTTTTCACTTTTGGGGAACTGCAATGTAGATTCCGTTTTACCAGTTCCTACCCCATTTGAGAGTGAGCAGCCTGAGCACCGAGTGGAGGTGCCTTTCGTTCTTTATTTAAGGCGCAGGGCAGAGTGCTGGGAGTACAGATGCCTGCTTCCCAACCTTGGAAGCTCTCTGCAAAAGGGGTTACGGAAGGTGGATTGCTAAATGCAGGGTTCGCTGGACTTCGTAACACTGCGGGAGAGGGGGAGAGGAAAGAAGACGCGTCTGGTTCTTGTCTGGTTTCCTTGCACAAAGGGCAGAGTTTAAAGTTCGCATTCTCCCTTTGTGGGAAAAAGATTGAGAGTTTGGCCGAGGGGTTTTTCAGGAGCTAGATATTGTTAACAGCAAATACACCAACAACCTAAAGGATTTGAATTCTCCCTCTCCGTATACATGGCACATTGGTTAAAACAAGTATCAGACCCTCTTGAAATTTTATTTTATGTGTATTAGTGTTTCTGCCTGCATGTAAGTTCACCTGTGTGTGAAATACCTACAGAGGTCAGAAGAGGGCGTCAGATCCCCTGGAACGAGTTAAAGACAGTTGTTAGCTGCCATATGGGTGCTGGAAACTGAACTCTGGTCCTCTGCAAGAGCAGCCAGTGCTCTTAACCACTAAACCATCTCTCCAGCCCCCTAAAACAGGCATCTCTGATACACACATTTCTTTGTATGTATTTACCTTCAAGAGCATATTTTGATGTGAGCCATTACATGATATGGATTTTTTCATGTACAGAAAATGCAAATATAAGCTCAAAAAGAGAGAACTTTTGCCGGGCTTGGTGGCACTGCCTTTAATCCCAGCACTTGGGAGGCAGAGGCAGAGGCAGGTGGATCCCTGTGAGTTCAAGGCCACCCTGGTCTACATAGTGAGTTCCAGGACAGCTGGAGCTACAAGGAGACCCTGTCTCAAAAAGACCAAAAAAAAAAGAGAACTTTTAACAACTTAGATAGTGCTAGAAAGGACTTTTAAGGATGGCCTTGTCCAACTATTAGAGGAGTTCCGCTATCCAAAGTTCCTGAGGTAGGGTGCAGGACTGGGACTGAAATACAACTTTTCCCAGCTCAGCATCAGTTTAGTACACCAGGTGTACATTGGTAGCCATACCTGCCAACAGTGCCTTGCTTTGTTTTAGAAAGCAGGGCTCTTCAAAGAGATGCTTTAACAAGGGACTGGAGAGGTGGGTCAACAGTTAAGAGCACTTGCTGCTCTTTCAGTGGACCCAGTTCAATTCCCAGCACCCACATAGCAGCTAACAACTATCTATAACTCTAGTTCTAGGTGGTCCATTATCCTCTTCTGTCACAGGCATTGCAGGATATGGGTGCACTTACATACATGCAGGCAAAACACTCATACACATACAAATATTTATTTATTTATTTAATTTTTGGCCTTTTTGAGACAGGGTCTCCCTATAGCCCCAGCTGGCCTGGAACTCACTATGTAGACCAGGCTGGCTTTGAACTCACAGAGATCTGCCTGCCTCTGCCTCCTGAGTGCTGGGATCAAAGGCGTGTACCACCACTCCTGGTTCAAATTTTTTTATATTATTATTCTTGACTTTTTGAGACAAGGTTTCTTTGTAGCCCAGCTGGCCTGGAGCTTGCTATGTAGATCAGGCTCACCTCAATCTCACAGTGATCTAACTGCCTGAAATTAAAGGCATGTGCCACCACATCCTGTGATAATTCTTTTTTTTAAAAGAGATGCTTTACAAGCCCAGTTTATAGGAATATTTTTTTCTTTGAAATTGGCCTTCACCAATTGCCTTAAAGAGTCTTTTCATCTTTAAGAACTTTTTTTCTAGTTAATTATTTATTTAATAACCACATACTTAGAAGAAGCATTTCATTACAACAGCATCGAACTTTAAGAACTTTTTAAAATTTATTTTTAATGTGTTTTACCTGCAAGTATGTAAGTGCACCATGTGCATGCAATGCCAGTGGAGGTCAGAAGAGAGCATCAGATTCCCTAGAACTGGAGTTGCAGATGGCTGTTAGCCACCATGTGGGTGCTGGGAACTGAACCCCAATCTTCTGTAAGAGCAGCCGGTGCTATTAACCACTGAGCAATCTCTCCAGCCCCAAGAACTTTCTTTTTTGAGACAAAAACCCCACACTGCATCCCAGGAAAGCCTGTAACTCAATAGGTAGTCTGGACTGGCCTCCAACTAAAATCTCTCTGCCTCAGCCTCTGGAATGCTGTGATTACAGATGTGACCCATCACACCCAGGTTAAGAACTAGAATTCTGGGACTGGGGAGGCGGCTCACAGGTTAAGAGCATGTGCTATTCTTTCAGAGGACCCAGGTTTGATTCCCAGCACCCATGTGGTGGTTCTTTCTTCCCCTTCTGGCCTTTGCAAGCACTACACACATACCAGTAAGCATACCAGCAATCAAAACACATGTACAAAAATACAAATAAGTCATTTGAAAATATTTTTTTCAAATTCAGCACTATTTTGATACCTTTAAATATTTTGGGAGTTTGAGAAGTTATTCCAGAATTTCATCTTAGTGTTAATGCTTCACTTCATATTACATTCCGAAAACTGTGTGTGTGTCTGTGTGTCTGTGTTCTTCAAAAGGAATGTTAAAAATTCCTTGTCTAGTTGTTGGTTCCCAGAAGCTCAGGTCCAAAGACAGTTTTGAAACCCTGCTTACTCTTTGTGACAGTATGTTTAGTGAACAAAACCAGAGTTTAATTTGCTTCTGAAAGCAAATACTGTGGTTAGAAAGTAAATAGGAGAAGTGATTGTCAAGAATGCAGTAAAACTTGGCTGGGGATTTCGTTCACTTGATAAGTGCCTCCCCAGCATGCTTGAGACCCTGGATTCAACCCCCAGCACCAGATAAACCAGGTGTGGTACACACCTGTGATCTCAGGACTTGGGAGGTAGAGGCAGGAAGATCAGAAGTTCAAGGTCAGAGCCCAGCTTGGTGGGGCATACCTTTAATTCCAGAACTTGAGAGACAGAGGCAGGCAGATCTCTGTGAGTTCCAGGTCAGCTGGTGATACAGGGAGACCCTGACTCAAAAAGACCAAAAAGAAAGAAAGAAAAAGAAAAAAAGAAGTTCAGGTTCATCTTAGGCTACATAGTGAGTTCATGGCCAGCCTGGGCCACTTGTGACCGTGTCTCAAAAACAAAAATAAACCAAAAAGAACAAAACAACTATTAGCAGGTGTTGGACACCAACCAGTGCCACAGGGAGCTATATAAGTCTAGAGGTGGGAGAAAATGCAATTACTTTGGATAGGAGGATCAGGGAAAACCACTTCCCAGTAGCTGGCATTGGAGGTGGTAGCCTTGTTTCACTTGAGTCATCAGGCTGTATAGTCTTGGGCCTGAGGCAGAGAGTAAACCATATACAAGAGCCCTAGGATACCTCTGAGTTTCAACTCCTTCCCCTTGGTAGAGTAAGTTGGGCTTTCTACTGTGTTAGAACTCACACGGTTAGACAATTAATAGACATACAGTCCTATTTGGGAACTCTGAAAAAGTCCTAAGATACAAACAACCCTACCCCTTCAATCCCCTATCCTAGCCAATCTTTCACAAGGATTAACTTTGTTTTCTAACTAAAATTGAAGGTCCTATAGTTGGGTTTTAAACTACATCTTAACTAATGTATACATCCATGCAACAAAAGCCTAGTTAGGATACAGGACTGAGGGCTGGAGAGATGGCTCAGTGTCAGAGTTAACAGCACTTGCTACTCTTTCAGAGGACCTGGATTCAATTCCTAGCACACACATGGTAGATCACAACTATCTGTAACTAGTTCCAGGGGATTCCACACCCTTTTCTGGCCTCCACGTGGCATTGCATACACACAAGTACACTTACATACATGTATGAAAAACACTCATAGAATAAAAATGAATTAATGAAAAAAATTTTTAAGTATTTTTTTATTTTTAAAGTATGAGTGCTTTGCCTGCATGTATGCAAGTGTACCATGTGCATGCCTTCCCCACAGAAGCCAAAAGAGGGCAGCAGATCCCCTGGAACTGGAGTTAAGAGATTGTTGTTAGCTGACATGTGAGTGGTGGGAACCAAACCCTGGTCCTCTGCAAGAGTAGCCAGTCCTCTTAAACCCTGAGCCATCTCTCCAGCCCCATAAATAAAATATTTTAAATTTTTTTCTTTTGTGAGGCTGGGTTGCCCTGTAGCTCCAACTTCACTGTGTAGATCAACCTGGCCTCAGTCTTACAGAGATCCTCCTGTCTCTGCCTCCCAAGTGTTGGAATTAAAGACATGAGCCAATGCCCAGCCATTCTATCAGTTTATTACTTAATGCTTTATTATTTATTGTTTTGAGCTGTTTTTAACTTTTTGTTTTCAGAATTTTATTTCCTTCTTTTTTTTTTTTTTTCCTGAAGACAGAGTCTCACTATGCAGCTCTGGCTGGCAAGCCTGGAACTCACAGAGATCCCCCTGCCTCTGCCTCCCAGAGTGCTGAGATTAAAGGCATGTATCACCATGCCCAGCTCTTTTTAACTTTTTGTTTAGGGTATTTGTAACTGAACTGAACTTATCAAGTGTTATAGTGCCCTCTAACTTCCTCTCCCAAGAGCCCTTACACAATAGTTTACATATCAGTCCATGTATGTATTTGAAGTACATGTGATAAAAGTAGATGGTGATCGTCATAATTTAACAAAACTGACTAGAAAATTTTCTCTTTTTTTTTTTTTTTTTTTTTTTTTGGTTTTTTTTTTTTTTTTTTTGGTTTTTTTTTTTTTTTTTTTGGTTTTTTTTTTTTTTTTTTTGTTTTTTTTGAGACAGGGTCTCCCTGTAGCCCCAGCTGGCCTGGAACTCACGATGTAGACCAAGCTGGCCTTGAACTCATAGAGATCCACCTGCCTCTGCCTCCTGAGTACTGGGATCAAAGGCAATGTGCCACCACGCCTAGCTGAAAAGATTTTTTAAAATTAATCTTTTAACCCAAGACTGATGGTGATATGAATAAAACATGTCAAAAGAGTATAATTATGAGCCGGGCATGGTGGCACATGCCTTTGATCTCAGCACTTGGGAGGCAGAGGCAGGTGGATCTTTGTGAGTTCAAGGCCAGCCTGGGCTACATAGTGGGTTCCAGGTCAGTTATGGATTGGATTAGGAGTCTACAGAGCTGAGTCAGTCTCTCTCTCTCTCTCTCTCTCTCTCTCTCTCTCTCTCTCTCTCTCTCTCTCTCTCGTGCGTGTGTTTGTGTGTGTAGACAGGCATGTGTGAAGGCCAGAGGTGATGTCAGAATATCTTCGTTAATTTATTTTCTTTTTATTGAATTTTTGAGAATTTTTTTTTCATACACTGTATTTTGATCGTATTTAGATTCCCTCTCCTTTCTGTACCCCCTTTACTACCCCCACTGCATGTGTGTGTATAAAGGCCTATAGAGTCAAATTTGGGTCCCCAAATGCTCTTTGGTGTGAGTTGATCCACTGGAGCCTGGTTAACCTAGCAAGAGTCGCATCCTTAAAGAGACTGTCTTTCCCCCTCCCAGCAGCCATTGATTACTAATAGTTCCCCAAGTAGAGTTGGGGTTTCTTACCCACTTCCCCATGTCTGCTGGGATTCTGTCTGGCTTGAGCTTATGTGGGGCTTGTGTATGCTGTCACCATTGCTGTGAGCTCTTAGAATGGTTCCACCCCCTCTTCCACAATAAGCCGAGCCTTGGGAGGCAGAAGTTTGATACAGGTGTCCAATTCAGGGATAAACACTCTGTAGTCTGTTATTCTCTGCACATTTGACCAGTTGTGAGTTTCTGTGTTACTCACCATCTGCTGCATAACGAAGCTTCTCTGGAGAGTTGAGAGATGCATTAATCTATGGGTGTAACAATATCATTAGGATTTTTGAGACAGAGCCTTTCACTGAACCTAGAGCTCACCCTTTTGGCTAGATTGACTTGTCCAGTGAGCCCCTTGGGATCTGCCTGTCTGTCTCTGCCCCTTCTCAAACAGTGGTTACAGGTGTATGCTGCCATGTTTGACTTTTACATGGTTAATGTGGATACAAACTCAAGTCCTAATGTGTGCACAGCAGTTACTTTACTCAGTGAGCCATCTTCCCAGCCCCTAGAGTTGAGTTCTTGATAGACCTATTAGCTTCAGACACATCACTAAATCTCTTAGGACTTACATTTCCCAGTTAAGTTGATGGACAGAAGAAAGGATTGAATTGGGTAATACCAAAATGCTTCCCTGATACGTGTCTGTCCCTGGGACTATACCTTCAGTTTCAGAAGGAAGTTTAAAAATAATGTATAGTACCAGAATTTTTTTTTTTTTGTCTTTTTGAAGCAGGGTATCCCTGTAACCCGTCTGGAACTCACTATGTAGACCAGGCTGGCCTTGAACTCACCAAGATACACCTTCCTCTGACTCCTGAGTGCTGGGATTAAAGGTGTGTGCCACCATGCCTGGCTTAAGATCTCT